TTTTAGCCGTAAATAAAGTCGAGGGCGCACACCGCGACACGCTCGCCCACCGAGCACGACAAAGAGTTCTATACACAGAGTAGATGGCAGGCGGCGCCGGCGACGGCGGTGGCAGTGGACCCAGACACCGACGAAAACCCATAACGAATCTCGCACCGGCGAAACAAAAGGTGGGAGTCTTTGGCTGGCGTTTTTGCTCCCCGGAAGTGGTCGCATCTGTCTGGCAAAATATTGTTTGTACATTGGAGCTGTTGAATCGGAGCTCTTTCAAGTGTTTGGTATGTCTGCTTGCTCAGTTGGAGGACGAATGGTGCGTTACTGCTGATTGGAAGCGCTACTTCGCCGCGTGTCTCGGTTGGAGGGAGGGGAGGTTCCGCGTCCTTCGTTCTTTTTGCCCGTAAGGTTTTTGTTTCCAGTTCCACGGAACACGTGCTGGTTTGACCTATGTAGCGTAGTTTTTGCAGGGGAGGCGTTGAATTGATTTACTTTGAAATACCATGTTTTTAGTGTTTCTGGTGTCTCCTATTACTCGACAAGGCAATTGTCTCTTCTCTAACGTGTCGAGGTTCTGTCATTTGCTTTCCTGTGTATTTTTTTGTTCTAAAACAGGAGAAGCCGCAGCAGCAAAGGAGGGATTGCGGCAGGAGAAACAGGGGCGGCAACGGCAGCGGCAGCAGCAGACGAGGGAGCGCCAACAGCGTGGAGGAGAGCTACACTCCTAGAGAGGACGGGGACGGGCAGGTGAATGTTGTCATTGTTTCGTTGTTTTGTGAGAGTGCCATGTGATTTGTGATGACTTATATGTAGGATGTTATTCTCTTGTGACTCTGAATGACGACGAGTATCATACCCTCGTGGCGAGGACCGGGACCGACACGTGATTGCATTTTTTGTCATCGGGGAAGTTCTGCAGCACTCAGTTCTCTGGCGGTGTGCGATAGAAAAAAAACTGTTTTCTTTGGGGGAAAACGTTGTGTGTTGTACAGTAGCATCGGGTTAACCCACTTATCCGCTGCAATACGCACGTCAGTCTTGGCGCCTCCTTTTTTTGGCAGGAAGCACCTAAATTTCATGAGAGTGATTTCTCGCTACACGCGATCAACCATCTCTCACATCTCTCTATCCCGCCCCCCCCCGTCGGACGTCGTTGTTAGAATTGGATCATCACGCGATAGCGGTGGCGAGGAGAGTTGTATACAAGGGAGCAGGAGAGAGAGGACTGCAGTGGGCAACCAATGCCGCGGGCAACCAATGAAGCGGAGGCTCGGAAGATGGTCAAAAACAGAGGCTTGGGGGGTGGTTGAGTGTGGGGCTGTGTTGTTGCTTTTTGACATTTGAAGGCTGAGGTGTAGGAATCCACAGGCAACCTTGCTGGTTGCTTCGTTATGTGTGAGTTCTTGGGTTCAGACATTATGTATGTGGCTACTTTATTCGTCCCCCCTGTTGTGTTTCGCGCGTGGTGATGCGAGAGCCTGGTCCGGTGAGAACCCGGCGTGCTCCGTCCCGGCTTTGTAGGGATGTGAGGTCAATGGTCTAACGACTACGGCATGCACGACTATGAGTACCCGCGACTATGAGTACCCCCCCCCCTCCCCCTGTTGTGTTGCATTGGTGTGATGAGGTAACCGGTTCTCAAGCTGAATATCTGCTGCAGCCGCTATTCCCGCAAGAGATGCAGTAGGAGGTGGCCTGCAATAAGTTTCTGTACGGCCGATCGTGTTGCAAAGTAGTTGTACCGAGACGTTGGGGCTGTCGCGCGAACGCACATCGGTGAAGAATTGTGTCTTTCCGGTGCATCCCTCGTGCGATGTTGCGAGGGTGCGTTTCGGGCATGGTTTTGAGTTGATTAAGAGTTGCTGGCGCTTGCAAGGGGTGTCGGTTTCCTGAAGCTTTCTGGACTCAGAGCTACGCCCGTACGTGTCTAGTGATGTTTTCAGCAACGCCGTGTACGTTCCCATACGCCTATTGGCAGTTCGGTTTTACAGCAGTTGACGGGGACAGTCTTTCGACTTGTCTATTTAGGAATGAATGCTGGCGGTGCGGCGGCCAACGAAATACCACTGTGATGTCGTTTTCATTGGCAGATTCTCTCGGGCACATTTGTAGACAGTCGTTTTTCGTCGTTTTTCAGTTTTCCGTTGCGGGGATGTACCCCGCGCACTTGTTATCCACGCATGTTTGTGTGTTGTTTCGTAAAAATAGTTGATGGGGATAGTCTTTGACTTGGCGACATACTGTTGGGCGAGGTGATTCGCAACGAAGTGTAGCGCTTTGCCTTGGTGTAGGAGATTTCGTTATTGTTTTTTTGTTGATAAGGCACTGTAGTTCTCTTTGAGCACGTGCGTATATAGCCAGTCGTGTTTCTTCGGTGGTTCTCAATGATTTCGTTCTTGTTTTCCGTCACGAGGATGCCTCTATTCCGTAGTAAGTCGTAAGATGTTCGTGATTTGGGAAAGAGATTTGGAAGGTTGCCCTGTTTCAACGTCGACGGCCGTAGTAATTGTTGATGCTTGAGCTTTTGTTTTTCTGTTCAGTCAAAACGTGCCGCCTCTTGGTTCCAGATCTTAGGAGCGGAAATTTGAAAAATTATTGGCTCGTTTAAAACGGCCCTTACCTGGTGTGTGTTGCTTCCAAGCGATCAAATCGAATATATGCAACGGGCGTAAATTGTACACCCCCCTCAGAGGATATTATCAGAGAGCGACAAAATTGACGTGAACAACAGAACGTACACTGTTCCCAGCAGTCTCCACTATAAGCAACGCACCACATGCTCCAGCGAACATATTGTTCCCCACTTCCTCCCGGGGAAGTTCTCTGGCTATTCCTCTGGAGGTTTTCTAGAGGATTGCCCAAAAAAGTGGAAGGTCTGATTTGGTAAAAAGGTTATCCCCCCAGAGGAAACCCCCCCACCAAAAGCTCTGGAGGATCACTGTCCAAAGTGTAATGTATTCTTAGTGGAGTACTTATTCCAACGGTCCTCCAGAGGATTTCGGGCGGTGTTCCTCCAGAGCTTTCGGTGGGGGTTTCCTCTGGGGATAACCTTTTTACCAAATCAGAGCTTTTGCTTTTTTGGGCAATCCTCTGAGGATTGCGGTTTCACCTATCCTCTAGAGGATTTGAACCCTAGCCATTTGTCTACCTGTGCGTCGGCGTCAGGATCTACAGCGAAATGCGCATTCGTTTTGGGCTCCCTCGCAACCTGGTTCCGGAAATAATGCTTCGCGCGCTCCAGCAACAAAAAAAGCAGAAAAACACACATACCCCCTGCGTGCCGTAGCGCCGATGACAGCTTTCGAATGCTGCCGCCAGTGCTTGTGCTGGCGCAGCCCGCTGGTGTCGCGTTCTCTATCTCCCGCTGGGCGGAAGGAGGGGGAGAGGAGGGGGAGAGGAGGGGGAGAGGAGGGGGGGGGGGGGGGAGAGATGATGAATGATTACAGGGATTAGGGGTTGGTGCGACAGCAGCAGCTGACGCCAGCTGTCGAAAAAACGCCTTACTCGGGAATCAGGGGATTGTGGAACTCCCTTGAAATGCGGCGCAATAGGCTTGGCGCGGGTTTTCTCGGGTCGCCTGCGCAGTGCCGAGTTGTGAAGCATCGGGATTGGTCACCAGGGTGCGCGGGAGACTGTGTGCGAATGAAAGTTTTGTTTACGGGTGTCTGTGTTGGTGGGCACGCAAGCGTTGGCGCTCTATAGACTATTGTATGTGGGACAGGCATTATTTTATCCGCAGGAACGGGTCTTGACGACTGTCTGTTGCCTGTCTGTTACCTGTGTTTTTTTGTACCAGTTCCCTGCTGGAGGCTGGGGGGTAAAATGGCAAACGTATTCCTAAGGGTGGAGGCGTGCAGTATGTACTGCTCACACCGCTCACCGCTCGCTACAGCAGCACAGGGGACTCTGTACTGCTGCTGTAGCAGTATAGATTTACGCCGACTCCTGTGTGTGGTCGGAGCACACGTACGACGGCGCATACAGTGCCGGCCCGCACTTAAGAACCTCCTATTTTCGGCGAGGCTCAGTTCTTATTGGCTGCCCCAACCCGAGCACCAGTTCTTATTTGCCAAGTTCTTATTTCGTAGTCCATTCTGCTCCTCCAGAAGGGCATTCTTGTTCTTATTTCAATACCGATTGCTCTATTGGCGGCTGTCAACCATGAGCAACACTACTACTACTGCTTGCTGTTGTTGTCGGTACAAAAAACACCAAGACGTGGAGCAGCAACTGTCAACCTTCTTGGTCCACAAGGGTGACGTGTTCGTGTGAGTGCGTATGTAGTCGGATCTGTAGATGAGATGACTGTTTCAGGTGCCCTGCACATAGTATGCGTTGGGTAGTACGACCAGAGAATGATTGTGCGGAGCCCCCACGCCAGCTGCTGTCAGCTGGCCTCCCCGGCGGGGGTCCGTGACTGCGCATCCTACGTACGTCTGGGCAACTCCACTGCGCATCCTGGTACTCTAAAACCAGTATCATGTCGTGCCCAGAAAGCTAGTTGGTGCGCAGTGCGTTTGTTTTCTGTCTGGGCATTTCTGGGCATTTCTGGGCATTTGGGGTTTGCGCCGAGAGAAGCCAAGGCGAAAAGGGGCCGCGGGAGGCGAGCTAATATCGCAGCGAGATCATCCCCGCCTGGCACATAGAACTGCATATTCTGCGGGGCACCTCAGAAACGAACTGAATATTCCCAGACCCCAATGACTTGCTTTTAGTCTTGAGAAGACCACCAGAATATACGCAGCCCGCCCAGAAACGCGGCGGGTTTCGCCACTAACTACATGGATGGACTGAAAATGCCAACCAAGCTCTGTGAGGGCAGACACAACACAGAACGAGAGAGGCAGGCGCCATCGTATGTCCAAATTTCCTGGAGGATATTCCTGTGAGGCGTATCAAGAAATAAAGAGAGACCAAGAGCATGGCTGCTCGGGCTGCCGCAAGGCGGGGTCGCCCTGGTGATGTTTTTCAGGGCCCTGCGACCCAGCTTTTCACGTGTCATATATATGTGTTTCCGAACACAAAACCCGGGTGATCTTCGTACTGCCGTTCGGAGTGCGGAAAATCCAACCAAGTTTGACCACTTCTGCTCCACCTGTTGGCGATCCGAGGAGCAGCTCGAGCGCCGAGGAGCTCACAACAGTCACGGTACTCTGGAAGATCGCGCAGCAAGCCAGGCAACGGGAGGCGGTGGTGGTGGCAGCAGTGCAGGTGCGAGAGATTCAAATTCTTCTGCTTCTTCTCCTTCGTGTGAGGCGGGAGGGGCTTGCAGCGGACCCGTCGCGGAGGACGAGGACGAGGACGAGGACGAGGAAGAGGAAGAGGAGGACCTTGAGGATGAGGATGAACTGGAAGAGGCCACGGCTGGTGTTTGGCGAAATGACATCCTGCAAGTCGCGTTGGCTAGACATGCCAAGGCGGTACAAAGGTTTCTCCCGACAATCGCTCCGGATGGCCAACTGATCCCTGCGAAGACGCCCGCCGCCGCCGCCGCCGCCGCCGCCGCCGCCGCCGCTGCAGCTGCCGCTACCGGCAATTCGAAAGGGAAGGGGCCCGCCGCGAGGCACCCCTCACCCGCAGCGGTGGCTGCGGCATTTAGAGAGAAGTTCCCGCAAGCACCATTATGTACACCTGTAGAAGGTGTTGAGGCTCGTGCGCGTGTAGCGATGCACCCAACGGCAGCGACGGCGGCGATGAGCAGAGCAGCGACGGACGGGGGAGCGGATATGGGCGAGCTCCTGCGAGAGGCGGCCATGGCGGCCTTCGCTACCATCCACGTGGCCGTCGCTCTCTATGTGCACGAGGTGGTTTTCTTTGAAGAATTGGTCCGCGACCCACGCTTCCAGGCAAGTGTGTGTTGCTGATTTGTGGCGCGTAGTACACATTTATTGTTCGCCGTATGCACAGCAGTAGCACACGTTAAAAATTGCTGTTCAGTTCTCTAAAAGCACCGACAAGTTTTGTGTTTTGCTTGTTGCATTCTATCCCGCTTGTTTGTGTTCAGATAATATGGCCCCCACCTCCACCCCCCACAAAAAGAAATTAGCCATGCACAAAAACTCGCTCGTGGTGCGGTGTGTTTAATTCTCGCACGGGAGCACCCCTTCTTTGGCAGTGTATTAGCATTGCACGGCACGTGGCACTTGTTTGTAACCAGAGTATCGTTTCTGTCATGTGCCCCCCTCAGGTGAAGACCAACGGAGGAGAAGTGGGAGTCAGGATGATTTGCCCATCGTGCTTGACGAACGAGTTTGTTGAGACTCCAGGAGTGTCGGGGAATGGCTTCCCCTCCGTGTCTAGTCAGAAGGTGAGCAAAGCGCCAAATACAATAGAACGGGACCACACAAGTGAACGCGATTCAAGTATTTGAGCTACGGAAACACAAGTTAGCGGCGTTGACTCCAACCTCATCCACATGCACTTTTTTCGCTTTTTCGTTGGCAGATACGAGTGGCACACGACATCCACGGAGTAGTAGTCCACGTCTTCGGGAAGTATCGGTGTAAGAACCCAGCGTGCGCTTTGAATGTCCGGAGTGCTCGTAAATCGGCAGAGAAGGCCGAAAAGAACGGGGGACCGAAGGCTAGCGAGATCGTGTGGGACGATGCTGCCGTTACGTCGCACTGCAAGAATGGCGTCGCGTTCAACACAATGGATACTAGGTATGTGTGATTTTCATGTCGAAGAATATTGAAACCATTTGTGGACGCGGTGGTGTCTGTAGGTGACGTGTCGAGATATTGGTTGACAAGGCGCATGCGGGAGGAAACCGGAACGTGTGTCAAATTCGTTCATCCCATCCACCGACAAGTTTGACCTGCCGACATCTATCTCTCTGTCGATTTCGTAGGTACATGCAGTTGCTTCCTGCTGCGGTGGTGGCTAAACTACCGTACCGCTTCTTCAAGCAAAACATCACGTCAGAAAGGCTGTTGGACATGGTTTCCGCAACGGAGGGCGATACGCCGGTACGCCCAAAGCTTGTGTTGTGTTGGTGGCTACTGATCGATTTTGTGGCGGCAGTACCCCGAGCCCGACATTTTGTGATGGAAGCATCCCGTGTCGCCGTCGCATGTCTCAGCAGACGTTGCATCTACCTTTGTTTTTGCGAAAGATTCCCAGTAGATAGATGAGAAGCCGTTGTGTTTGGGATTAACCCCGTCAGGGTCTCCTGCTACTTGTCCTTGGCTAGCTGGGCGGTGGAACGTTAACTTTCTCTTTCGTTGTTGACGTCTGTCAGGGTTTCCACCGGCTGCTAGTGGCACGCGACCAGGGACAAGAGCTGAGAGATATGCAGAGGTACATCCGATTCGCGGAGGAGGAGCAGGCTAGGGAGAGACGGAGTCGACTTGACGGGGAGTTCACCAAGTGGCCAGGATGGAGATTCAACCGCGGGACATTGATATCGACACCGTCCGTCGCCGTCTTGAACACCATCAACAAGGCTGCCCATCTGCAGGTATTGTATGCAGAGCTGACATCGGCCATGGCGTGCACGTTGCAAGAGGTTCGGAAGCGATGCTGTTGTTTCTGATGTTGAGAATGCAAGGCGAAACAACGACGTGTTGCAGATTTTTTTGGTTGACGGAAGAAATCTTGCGGGCGCGTTGTTCGATTGTTCGCAGGACAGAGACCACATGCTACGCGAGCTGATTGCCCAGGTAGCGGGGGAGTTCGTCAACTCAGACGGAACATTTCGCGCCGCCGGGAAGGTTATGGATGAGGCCCAGTGCCTGTATTTCCTGATGGGGGAGGATGCCAAGATTCTAGGGTACGGAGCCGTCAAGTCAGAGAGCGAGGAGGAGCTCACCCTTCTCTTCCAGAGGTGCGTGCGCCCCCTTTCAGGTCTTGGTCGAGCCTCATACTGAACCTGGCGTATTTCATTCAGTCAGAGAACGCATACGTATGTGCACAGGAGGTATCGCCAGCTCATGCGTTTTGTGGATGATCGAATTCCGCCCACAGGTACGCGGACAGGCGGAGGAAGAAGGGGACGTTGCATGCTCTGCGGTGGCTCTACGACGATCGCTGTTGCAGAGGTTGTAAAGACGTGACAAAGTACTATGGGGTCCAAATCTTCCCCCACGTGGAGCGCGCTCCACTTGCCGATTCGTTCCACGCAACCCAGGTGCGATGGACAAGTAATACGCGTTGGGACAGCCCCAGCCGTGCTTTCGCATGGTTGGGGTCTATGATGTGAACTTGGCATGGCGTTGGCGAAAAGCGCCCCGTGTTTCGGGTGTCAATAACGCCCGTGTGCGTGCAACGTCTGTGTACAATCCGTGCCTGCAACCCAAACCTTCGCAGCAGTATCAACGCTCAATTGCTTTTCAACTACTTTTCCCCCACCGCCTTCATTGCAGAATCTGGCGGGTGCAACCACTTCGAAGTCGCACGAGCGAAGGGGAGTGTATGCGAGGGGGGTGGGAGGATCTGTCCGCAGCAAATACAAGCCCGACGTAGACGCCGTAGTCGAGTACTTGATGCGGGAAAACAAGAGGATGACAAGGGCGGAGGCTGAGCGTAAGGCAAAATCCAAGTCTATGAGTCGGTATGTCCGTACGGTTTCTCGTCCGATAGAAGAGACGATAGCTGAGGTTAGCGAGGTGGTGCGCTTGCACGCAAGGCTGGACGCGGAAGGACGGGAGAGGGGCGAGCTGCCGCTGCTGCAACCCGAGTTGCCGCCGGGGAAGAGAGGACCGCGTGGCGCACAGGCAGAGCTGAATAGCCTCATCTCTTGCCTCCGAAAGGGATGCGGGCAAGACCCGTTGCCCGTGGATAAAATGTAAGTGGTTGTCGTGGCGTTTTATTTCCAAAGGGTAACTGCAACTGTTTGACGATGTTTTTTTATCCCGACCCACGCGGTTGCCTACCATGTTTTTCTGGTCGTTCGGTTTTTCTTGTTTATGCTATGAAGCCTGATCGCTACTCAAAAGAACAACGACCCGTTCCTGTGTCCCTCTGTCGACACGAAGGTACCTCCACGTTGGCACGGGGAAGAAGACGAAGCTCAAGCGGTACGTCAAGAAAGGAGGCACTGCCAAGAACGAGTCGTTCCACCGTAGCCTGAACGCAATGACTTCGAGCGTTTCTCGGCTCGGGCCGGGCGTCTGCGATCAGCGACTGCTGCAACTCGTTTACCGCTTCAACCTCGACAAAGACCGCAAGCTCGGCCGTGCAAGCAAGCACTCCACTTTGTGGGTTTGGAGGGAGCGGGACATCAACGACGCAGCGAGAAAGTGCCTCGTCGCCGAACCTTTCCCGAAAGCGGGGCCCCGCCCGGATGTGAGACCCAATGACGTAGATGCACACCGACTTCATATCTGGTTGTATCCGCGTGTTTTCCCGGCCGCGCGGAATAAGCGGCAGTTGAAAGTTGCCTCCTTCCGGATGTCCTCGCATAAAAGAATTGTCGGTCGTTCATCACGGCCTCGTGCACGTTCAACATACGCTTCCCTCCGAGCTATTGTTCCAATTCCTCATATGTGGCCGCTGGTGTTCGTCTTTGTTCGCTTACGTGACATGCACGTTTATTCCAGGTGCAGCAAGAGGACTTGGACGCCGAGCCGATGGGTTTTGAGTACGCCAAACGTCTGAGGGAAGACCGCTTGGGAGCCTGCCGACAAGCTGCCATGCATATGGTCGGAGTCGGCAGTGGGGCACCGGTGCCGGAATCTGGTGTGAACAGTCCACCTCTGCGGTTGGCCACGGTACCAGAAACAGCGGTTCAGGGGGGGAGAGATGCGGGAGGTGGTGAAGGGAGTGGAGCTGGCGCCTCTGGGGTTCACGGTCAGGATTCCGGGGCGGGTAGTGCTGCAGGTTCTCGGGCGAGTGGTGCTGGGCGGACGAGCGGTGCTTCGATCGCTGGGGTTGGAGCTCAGGGGTCTGGGGCGGGTATTGCTGCGGGTGCTCGAGCGAGTAGTGCTGGAATTGGAGCTCAGGAGTCTGGGGCAGGTAGTGCTGATGGTGGTCGGGCGAGCAGTGATACGGCCGAGCACGGCGCCGCCGGGGAGGGCGCCACCGGAAGAGCTTCGGAAAATCTGGGCGGGGCAAGGAGAAGACCTATGCGAAAGAATACGTCGAGGGGCAGCGGTGCTTCACTCCTCAAACCGAAGCAGTGGTGGCTTGCTGGTCTCAGGCGGTGGCTGAAACCATTGGAGAGGGTGTAAGTCCCAGCAAGGTTGTCCCTAAGGCGGTCGACAAGTTCAACACGCAGTACTTCGTGCAGGCGTTTTCACCTGGTACAGGGCAGGGGAGGTTGCGCGGGCCTACTTCAGTGAGGCAGGCCGAGAAAATGTCGAAGGAAAGGGCGTCTAGCAACCTCGCTACCTCGTTGGCCTCGGCATCTGCAAGCTTGAACGAGGCCAACTCCAGTACGAGCGTGCCAAGTACGAAGAGGCGTAAACGTGGGGATGTGAACGCTGCTAAGGCCCGAGTCGAGTCGGGGACGCCCTTGGAGCGCTCCGACATCGACAAAATCACGGACGTGCTGGCGAACGAGTACCTGAAATCCATGGGCCTGCCCACGTCTGGCAAGGTGGTGGACAAGCGCGAACGCCTACTGCAGTTATTCGCCAAGAACAAGTGGATGGTGTATACCCCCGATGCTGTCGACGGCGGGGAAGGGGCGGCTCGGGCGGCGGCGGCAGCACCGGCGCCCGAGGTTGGTCAGCGGGTGTTGACCGCTGCCGGGGGCCGACCGGGGGCGGCGGTAGCGGCGGCCATGGCGGCGGCGGCGGCAAAGGCGGCGGCCGCCGCGGCTGACCAGGGAGTGTTGCCGCCCACTCCCGGGGGCAGGTCGGTGGGGAGTGTGGCGGTGATGGCCGGGGCTGTTCAGGATGGTTTCCCAGCTACCGCGGGCGGGCCAGGGGCGGGGGTGGCGGGCGGGACTGCTCGGGGAGCATTGCTCGCTACGGGTGGAGGACCGGGGGCGGCGGCCGGGGCGAATCAGCAAGGGTTGCCCGCTGCCGGGGGTGGGATGCGGCCGCCACAAAACGAAACGCGCATTTGATTGAGTCTTGCAGCATTTGCTTAGGTCATGTAGATGAACAAATGCAGCATCTGTGACAATTTTTTGCATTTTTTCCTACAGGGGCGAGGGGGCAAGCACAGACGAGCGTTGGGGCTGCACCTTGTTTTTTCTTGGCGGGTTGTAGCGGATTTTTTTTTTAGTTCCGTAGGTTCTGATTTTGGTTTGGCCCATTTGGGATGTACAAGGTGTCACGTGTCGTGTTGCACCCATGCTGTAACAACTGCTTTGGAAGCAATTAGACTACAAGTGTTCGCCCGACCGACGGACCCCGCACTGCTGCCGATAGAGCTTACCATGTATTGGTGCTGTACTAGCTGCATCGGCGACGAAAGTTATCATGTTTCACGTTCACAGCGCTTCAATAGCTTGCGCAGTTCGTTTGCTTGGCGTCTGCTGTAGTACTCCAGATGCGGAGTGCGCTGCCGTGGTATCGTACGGCCGACACCTTACAGCGGCGCATACAAAACATACAACGACAGAGTACACACAAACGGGCTTGCCAGATCATCATGCTGCGTGCCCGCTGGTAATGTAGTACGCTGTCCCCCCGCCTAACACACAGCAGGGGCAGTAGACCGTTGGTCACGCAGGTCTTACATACAGGGTAATGTGTATATGCTGTCGTGTGTATGTGCATGCATACAGCACATATACACGTACATACACCGCCGATACACCCCCGTGCTGCCCTCCTACTCGCCGCCACACGCAGTACCTCATGGCGCACAGCATCACATGACATGGCAGACAGGCAGTACCATCGTTCGCCTTTCATGTTTTAAGAGGATTGGCGGTGCATACAGACGGCCGCTGGAGTGAGGAGGCAGTGCGCCGGTTGCAGTTGTTCAGTGTTCATTGTATGCGCGGCGGCGAATCTCGCTAAAATATTGTTGACTGCCAGAATCGAGCCGAACTGCTGAGGAGACAAAAATCGACGTGGGAGACTATCTCAACGCAGAGTTATCTGCTCCATCCCACGGTGAGAATATCCTGTACACCAGGAGTCAGTCATCTGGGTCACATAATCTTCAGTTTGGTTGTGACGTGCTCCGCACAATGTGGACTTGCCCCCCAATTGCTGGGAGTTTACGGTGCGAACCCCCCCCAGAACAAAAAAAAAAAATCTGGGCATGCCCAGAAAGTGCCCAGATGCCCAGAAATGACTTGAAAATAAAAAATTCAGTGGTCCATTTTCTTGCTCCCCGTGGCACTCCCTGCTCTTTCCCCCCAACCGGGTGTGATGTGAGAGATAACAAGCATCTAAACATCAAGCACTACAATCTCTACAAAGAATACAAGGGCATACCACTTACGGTTGACGAATATGACGTTGGTCCTGCGCACCCTTCCCGATCTACTAATAATAATGCTCTCAAGCAAGACCCAGGAGCCTACAGCCGCATCCGAATCTCCGCTGTACTTACTTGTCTAAAGGCAACTTCATCTTGCGCGTACTCTGGTCTTCTACCTCCAGCTGCACACAGTAGTAGTAGTCGTACAGGTGGCGAGTGTCCTTCTGAGATTGTTGAGTGATCAATCAACCCTCCAAACCACCCCATGCCCAGCCTAACGAGCACTCCACGTCGCAAAAGCAATCTGTCAAGAGCAACCAACGGGTTTGGCTTCTTGAATACTAAAGCCTGCCGGGATCTCCATTCCCTGCATCTCATCCTCATCCGGGTCTTGTGGGTCCATGCTGTCGTCGTCGTCTAGAAGAGCTTGCTCGTCGGTCTGAGGTTCAGAGACGTCTGCGAACGAGGCACCGGGGAACACAATGTTCGTGGGTCTACGGACATGGTTTGGACATGTTAGCCGTACGTACAAGTGTGACGCAGATGGTGTGAACCTTTTAGGTAGGGGTGCGGTGATGATGCACCGGGGCCCCCTTTTGTTGTGTGCAGCAGCCCTGCTGCCACTCCTCCTCTCTGAGCACGACAGCGCCCTGGGTACGGGCGTTGCCTCACCGTCTGAAGTTAATACACTACACAAACAATACCCGATAAGTACGCGGAGTACGGCCGACAAACACTCTAGAGTTTAGATTGATTGTCCCTCGAGGGATAGCCGCATCGGGTCATGTCTGCGTCGGACAGCGGTTCCGTCGCAGGGCTGGGGGAAGAGACCTCAGCCACGCAACAGCAACACGCCGAGGATCCGGCGATTGCGAGGCTGGAGGGCCAGTTATCGCAGCTGATGAGCGTAGTGATGGAGTTGAAGAGGAAGGAGCCTGGTGACGCCGTGGCGGGCGATGCCAGTAGGGGCGGCGGTGCTGCCGTCCCAAGCCAGAGAGAGGCTCTGCCGCCTGGGGGCGGCGGGGCGTTTTCCCGGGAAACGGCCCGTGATGGGCGAAATCACCCGCGGGAAAGCAGCTGGGACAACATACCGGGAGCGAGTCCTGGGGTTCCAGCGAGAGTGACGACTGGCTGGGCAGGTAGATCGGGAGCGAATCCTGTGGTGGGGCCAGCCGGAATGAGCCCGGGCGTAGGACCGGACCGCGGGGAAGCGAGGGGGTTAAACCCCCAAGGTGAGCAAACCGCAATTCGAGGGGCCGGAGCATTTTTGATGGGTACAGCAGTAGTAGCCAAAAACGTGTTACGGTCAATGCACCGCGTCTCGAAGGGGAGAGTCGCGGCCACGGGTACGACTCGTGGAGGAAGGCACTTATTCAAGCCGCAAAAACCGTAGGCTTGGACGGGCAGCTTATCGGCAACGCCGAGAAGCACGCACCCGTCGGTGACCCAAACAGGCCTAGCTCGGAGCTGTATAGCTTGGGCTACACAAGTGATGAGGTTCAGAGGGGCCTCCAGGCGTTCCACTTTGTGACTACAGCCATCGTCCGAGAAGCCGACAAGGCAATCGTGAATAAATGCGAGACCGCAAAGGAGATCCTTGCGGAGCTCGACAAAGTACACAACCCGGAGTCGCAGGGCTCGAAACAAGCCCTCATGAAGAAGATGTTTCGATTCACGATCCCCGCACACAGCAACAGCAACCCTGTCGAGCATCTATACACGCTCGAGCTGCTGTACTCACGACTGCGGGAAAAAGGGCTCAACGCTGACACACCCTTTGTTCTCGCACACTTTGTCGATGCCCTTCCACCCGAGTACCAACAAGCCAAATTCTTGTTGGAGACGGCTACAAACCTGGACCGGGGCGAGATAATCAGGGTAGTCAGTACCGTGCACGCGAGCCTCCCGGAGGGGAGGAGGGCCACGAAGGGCCAGCGGAAGGCGGAGCATGCTTTCCTCGCGAGCGACGGTGGCAACAGGGGCGGAGCGCCCGGCCGCAGCAGCGGCGGCCACAGCAAGGGCGGCGGCGGCGGTGGCAGCCAGAAGGGGAAAGGGGGTGGTCGCAAGGGCGGTGGTGGTGGCAACAGCGGCGGAGGCGGCGGCGGTGCAGGTAGCATGCACGGCCGCTGCTTCCGGTGCGGAGAGAAGGGTCACCAGGCGGCCGCCTGTACCAAGCCGGAGCCCCTGCGATGCGAGAAATGCCTGGGCTACGGACACGACAAGAGCAAGTGCTCGTCCGAGCAGGCGGTGCTCGCGGTGGAGCTGCCGGTCTTGGACGCCACCGCACTGGAGGTGGCAGAGGAGGCGCTAGTGGTCCGTGACTTCACAGGCGAGTGGAACAGAGTCGTTGATCGAGGGGGTGTAGAGCAGGCCAGGCAGGAAAGGTTTGTGGCCGATACCGGCGCAACCAACCACATGTTCCCGAGCGCTAACGCGTTCGAAAACTACCATGAGTGCGATCGACGTTTGAGTGTCGCCGCAGGGATGCAAGCCTTCGCCATAGTAGGCTACGGCGACGTGAGGGTGACCATCGGTTCTCGCGTTGGGACCACAGACCTGCTGTTGAAACGGGTCGCTCATGTGCCGGAGCTGAATTACAACCTCGTGTCCCTCACAGCCCTTTTGAAGCAAACCAAGGGCCGCTTAGCCGCAGACGAGCGTGAGTTGGAGGTGTTCGTTGGTGGGGGGGAGTCGGTGTACTTCCCTCTATGGGGGGACCTGTTCGTTCAGACTGGTCACCGCATAGACTCGGGTAGGGAACTAGCCTGTGCCATAATTGCTCCTGGTAACGCGACAGCGAACCGCACCCCCGTTGACATCAACGACTTCCACTGCGCGCACGGCCACTCCCACGAGGTGCTGCTGAAGAACACGGCGAAGCAGCAAGGAGTGACGCTGGTGGGCCAGCTCCGGGAGTGCATGGGGTGCTCGACGGCAAAGGGGCTATCCAAGCCCATCCCCAACAGGACGTCAACCCGAGCAGTTAAGAAACTGCAGAGAGTGTTCGTGGATTTGAGTGGGAAGGCAAGGGTGCAGAGCTCGGGGGGAAAGTGGTACACTCTCATTGTAAGGGATGACTGCACGAGGTGGAACCGCGTCTACTTCTTGAAAAACAAGTCAGACGCTGCAGAGGCATTCGAGAGATACCTAGCGGAAAACAGGGCAGACGGAGCCCCATCCGAGGTCATGGTCGTGCGGTCTGACAACGGAGGAGAGTTTTTCGAGGGAGAGTTCGGAAAGCTGTGCCGCAAGTATTGCATCAAGCAGGAGTTCACCCCCGCATACAGCCCAGAATACAACGGTGTAGCTGAGAGAGCACTGGGACTGATAAAGGATGCAGCACTAGCCGCCCGCATACAAGCGCCGATTCTTTACCCCGAAGCACCAAGCTACCCCTCCCTTTGGGCCGAAGCCACAGCTTGGGCATGCAACGCCCTGAACTGCACCTCCACCACATCCAACCCGGACAAGAAATCGCCGTACGAAATGTGGCACGGGCACCCACCTCCCCCAGAGGCGACGTACCCGTTCCTCAAACCCGCCGTATACAAGGTCAAGCGCACGCACAAGTCAGAGCCGAAAGCAAAAAAGTGTTTTTACCTCGGCCCTGGAATCAACACAAACCGTGATTGCGTGCGCATCCTGAACGAAAAACGCCAAGCGATCACCACTCGCAACTTCACCTGG